TGTGTGTGTGTGTGTGTGTTGCGTGCACGCGCATGACATATGTAAATTTAAACTTGTCTAATCGTATAATTTTAAGAGAATAAAATATTCCAAAAAAAAGATATATTACATAGATGGATTTTCATCACTTAACTTATGTAGTAAAATATTATGAACATTACAAATGTATAATTAAAATCGCCCAATTATATATCGCTTAATTGATTGAGTAAAGCATAATTAATTAAATGAATAGCGAGAACGATGTAGACTTTTAAGATACACACGTTATAATGTGCACTTTGAGAATCCAAGAATTAATTTTCAACTGTGCTCAGCTTGAAAACTTTGTAAATATATAAGCACTGTTTAATTTCTTTCAATAAAAAGTAAACATATGGATGTCTCTTTAATGGAAGAAACGTATCATATATATATATATATATAAAATACGATTCCTTTCGTTGCTTTGTTCACAGATCGTATTATGCACCGCAAAAATAGAAGACAGACAATCTCTTCCACTAACAACACGTTGTATGCCAGCAGCTGCAACCATATGGCATTCTTTCTGTGATCTTGCTCTAAGAGCTCGTTAATACGATCCTCTCGGATGTTGCCAACACACAGTTAATATTAGTTTCGAGTATGTTTTCTCAATGTATGAATGACACCGCGGACTTCCACTATGGTCTCTTCGATAACCACCTGGTTAACATACTTAACGTTATTTCTAAAAGGATGTTGCATCGGTCTGTGCGCTACCGTTTAATTTTAATGGCACCGTCCTCTTCGATATTTTCTTCAAATATGAAACAAATGTTAATTTAAAAATTATTTATTATATCAATAAAAATTGGATAGCATCAGAAAAAATATAAGAATGAAATGTGGACATATAGAATCATATAGAAAAGTGCACATTCGTCAATTGCAATTTAAAATATGTCCTTCCTAAAAAAGAGATAACATATTCAAGAAAGAGATTATTTTTCCAAGCAACTGTGAACGATAACATTTGGATTGAAATTAACTAATGAACAGGCTGTTAATTGAAAACTAATTAACTCTTGACCTATCGTACAATAATTATAATTAATAGATATAAGAAAGATACAAAAAATCCAAAAAATGGCCGAAATTGGCTCTAGATATACGTATGCCAACACCTAAAAAATTCCACAGTATTTCTTCAAATGTACAATATAAAAAAGTCAAACAACACTATGGAGAATTAGTTATTTAGATTTCGGCTCGTGATCAATTTTTTAATAGATATATGTGTATAATATTGTACGCATGTCAATCTTCGGATCTAACAAGATATATATATATATATCTTGTTAGATCCGATATAGAAAAATTCTTCATTAACGGATTCTTCATTAGCTTCTTTGATTATAGTTTGTAAGATTAAAATGTATCGATATAGCTTAAAACTATAATCAAAGAAACTAATGAAGAATCCGTTAATGAAGAATTTTTCTTTCATAGAACTATCCGCAATAAGAAGAAAAACAAAGAAAAACATAGTGATCCATTGGTTCGCAGTCGACGAAAGCGGCGGAGTTTACTGAGCTTTCGAGCCAATAGGAATACGTCGGCTTGCTAAAAATACATTTTGAATCACAGTAGGAGGAGATGAAACGACACCTCCTTCGCGAAAGGCGAGAAATACTCTTACAAGTACGTATCTCTATCCGAGTAAGACGAGTAACTCAGCTAAGGGAACAATTCGGTCAACGCCGCGTATTTAAGAAGAATCGAACGAATATAATGAATAAGCACTTGACAAAATATCGGAAAAGAACACTTTTAGGCAAGTTTTATCAAACGCAATGAAACAGAATAGTTCATGAAAAAAATAACTTTTCGCACATATCAAAAATATACATATAATGTGTGCAAATTCTTCTTGTGTTACTTAATTGAAAACCGAAATGACCGGTAATGCGCATAACGAGGAACGAGAATATTTCTATGTATAAAATATTTCAAATACATGAAAAGAATTTTTTAATCAAATTGTGAGCGAATTTGCGGGACTTGTTGAATGTGTCAATGATCATGTTACGCGATGTATATTATGGAATTGCAAACACTGTGGAACAAATGTGTTTAATGTCGATTGCATATTAAATAATCTGAAAGTATTAGTTTATCGTACTTGAACAACTTGAGATTTTACCCAAACTAACATATTCCATTTATTAAATATAATTCCGTTAATTATACATATCATTTTTTCTCTCCCTCCCTCCCCCACCCCTCTCTCTCTCTCTCTCTCTCTCTCTCTCTCTCTCTCCCTCCCTCAAGATAATATCAAAATCAGAATGAAAACTAGCGGAGGCACTTCGAGTCGTTTGAATACAAATACAAATGTGGAGCAACGTTTAAGAAGTCCGAAGTGCGCGCGATGTCGAAATCACGGTGTAATATCTGGTTTGAAAGGTCACAAGAGATCCTGTGCATGGAAAGATTGCCGATGTCCTTGTTGTCTTCTAGTCGTCGAAAGGCAGCGAGTGATGGCAGCGCAAGTTGCTCTACGTAGACAACAACAAGCGCAAGGCGACAATCTTCTGTCTTCAGTAAATAAAATATCAGCGGACACTGTAAGTCCTTATCACACTAAAACAAAATACAACGAACCTGTCTGCGGTAGAAGAACCAAGAATTTTCAAAGGCATCATTTACATTTCACGCAGACGAGTATTAGCGTGACGCAGGACTTTTATGGATTAAATACCATACATGGTTTACCTGGCGCATGTGAGTATAGCTAAAATTCTCTAAACCCTTTCAAATTTTATCGTGAGAAGAAATTGTTCGGAAATATATAAATACATCAATAATGTATGCATTGATTTGATATTTATAATAATATTATAATAATATTTCAAACATGCTACTCTACTCTTTAGGACATTGTAAATTATTACAACAAAATAAAAATAACTCTCGAGATTTAACAACAAATTAAAATATCACATTTGACATGTTTTTTATTAGCAAAAGTTTAGACATCGAATTATGAAGAAATATAATGTATATTATAAATAATATAAAGGGTTGGAAAATATTTCAATCTATTGGCACTGGATATCTACATATGTTCAATTTTATTAGTTTTCCATTTTTTTTTCTATCTCTTTTCAAGTGTATTCTTGCAATATAGTGTTTTTGAGAATACAGTTATATCAAATGAGAATAAAGTTATATCAAATGTTTACTTACGAAAGAACTCTTACACATTTCAGTATCAGCCCATCCTACACGTTTGCTGAACAATTTATCTTCTCTAGAATGCGATCAAAAACAAGAAGCTGAACCCATACTGAAGATAGAGTCTTTCCATTCTGCATACCCGACAATGGTTCCATGGTTCAATGAGGTAACGCAATCATACATAGCGAATGAAGAGTTGAATAATTTTATTTCTACGAGAGATTTGCGAAGCTGTCCTACTACAATCAATAAACCTTGTTTAGAAAAAAAAGCGCCAATTTCCTTCAGCGTGGAATCTATTATCGGTACGAAATAATCTATTATCTGTATTTTAATTGTTTGAGTACCAGCGAGCTATTACCTATTCCGATCTGGCAATTTGAGAATTGCCAACGATACCGCAACCGCAACATGCACTTAACATCGAATAGTCAATAAATATCCCACTTATCTTTCAGCAATATATTCCAGCAAGATACATAATAAATGGCAAATGTTAAATTTTTTAATAAGAAACGGAGTGAGATATTTTGCTCGTATTCATTAATTGGTACTTGAACAATTAATCCCACTACGGTGAAATGAATAATCTTACAAATAGTGCACCAATTAGTACATATAAGTAAAAAAAAAAATGACATTTTCACAAACATTGTGCAAATTATGTAATAGTAGTCGTATGTCGTATGTAATCAACACTTTAATATATCGTATAATAATCATATAATAAAGTGTATCTTACTTCCTCGTTGACTATATGTATGTGTGTTGTGTGTGTGTGTGTGTGTGTGTGTGTG